GAGTATTTATAGATATTTATAGATAAGGGCTGGAGCAATACCACACAGGGGCACAAGAGTTCACCGTTGTCACGCCTGGATGTGTCAGCTCACCACTACAACAGACTAAGTCACAGATGAAGGGGACGCTTGGGGGCCGGGGAGCCACTGTCAAATCACAGAACAGCCGTCCAGGCAGGCTTTGGGGAGGTCTCCGAGGAATAGTAGGGATCTGGTTAGAGGTCGAAGGGGGGCCTGGGGCTCTCAGGACGGGACGGACTTGCCTGACCCGATCGGCTGGCAGTTGGAGAGAAACCGGGAGAGAGAAGGAGAGAGCTGGTAAGGCAAGGCAGCCATGCCCCAGCAGCAGTGGGAGGGAACGACGCAGTGTGAGCATGGCGAGGTTTCTGGAAAAGAGATGCAGTCGGACGGACAGACGGGAAAGGGATGGGGGATGGGAGCCGGGGGCTGGAGGCGGTGGGCCCGAGTGCCCGGGTCATCCGGGCAAAGGCTGGGGTGTCCCCTGCTACACACGCAGCCTCACACATCACCAGGCAGCGCACCCAGGTCCAGGCACGTGGCAGGCCTCCCTCTTCTCTGGTTTCCCTGTCTTCCATCCACTGGCCCAGAGCCACCCCTAGCTTCGGGGAGTCCCACACAACAGTCACCCGGCTGGAGGAAGAAGACGACTAGAGCCAGGAGGGCGAATCTAAAAGGGCTGGCTGGAGTGTGCTGGAGGCCCCTCGGGGTCAGAAAGCTCAGGAGTCCTGGCAGAGGACCCTGGGGAGGCTGGAAGGGCAGCAGCTGATGCCAGGGCCCAGACTTATAAGTCTAAGAGGGGAGCCTCAGCTGGTCGGGGGGCTGCAGGTCGCGTAGGTGAGGCTGGGCCCTTCCTGCTGGGGAAAAGCAGAAGATCGAGAGTCAGTGGCTGCGGAGGAGTGGCACGTGGGGTCCCTGGGTGAATTCCGTAGCCTGGCTAGGTGGAACTCCGGAAGCTGACAGGCTTAGGTCAGCAGACCCTGTTGTGCCCTTGGCCAAAAAGCACAGTCACCCCTAGGAGCAACAAGATGAGTTGCAGGTGCCCATGTAGTGCTTCACCCGGGCCTGTAGTCACAGGTGTGACGATGCCAAGGAGGCAGGGAAGGGCCCGTGTGGCCCTGCTTTGACTGTGAGGAATACTGTGGGCTGATGGTGTACATGGGACTCTCTGCTTCCAGAAATCATCAGACAACCAGAGCCTCCACTCAATCGCTGCCTGACTGTCACCCCTGCCTGGTGGAGGACTTGGTTCCCAGAGCTCGGGGCTGGGAGCTGGATGTCCAGCTTCAGCAGCAGGGCTCAGACTGGGGGCAGGGTGTAGCATCCCAGCTGAGCTTCCAGGCTGCTAGTTAACACAGAGCCCAGTCACACACCTAGCCCTTCAAACTCCCAGCCCCTACACCGTGAGCCATGAGCTCTCTGGCCTTTCTGGCAGCTCTCTGGCAGCTCCAGAGAGCACCCCATCTGCCAGTTCAGGCAGGGAGCCTGTCCCGCGACCTTGGCTCAGCCATGGAAGCCGTGTGCCGTGGCGCTGAGTCCCGAGTCTCACTGAGAAGGAGGAGACAGAGCCAGCTGGCAGAGGACAGAAAGGAAGAGGGCGCCTGGAGCTGCAGAAGGGAGAGGGGGGCCTGGCTCTTGGTCCCCAGGCGTGCCCCGCAGTGTGGAGCTGGTGCAGCGGGGCAGACACACGGTTCATGCAGCAGGCTGAGAGAGCATGTACCTACCGTGGCTGATACTCCTCAGGGGTCACTGATAGTGATTCTGAAAGACAGCACGAAATCAACAGGGCAGTTCACACGCACACAAGTGGGGCAGGCCTGGGGGTGGGGGACACACACTCGCACACGCCCAGGCGTGCACACACATGCGGTGCGGCCCCACGGCCCTGCATGCACACACTAACATACATGCCCATGAACAACACGCATACACCTCCCGCCCCCACCTCCCTGTGCCCAGCACCCTCGCTGGCCGGCGCGTGCAGCACAGATGTGGGGCATGCAGCCACTCAGCACACAGAAGCACACGCATGGGCTGTCACAACACGGAAGCTTGCCCGCACACAGAAGGCATTTGCACCAGCTCCCTGCACACTTGTGCCTGGTGTGCTCAGTGGGCCACTGCACTGCACCAAAAGGGACTGGGCTTGCTTTCTAGGATCTGGTTGTCATTTTTCTGCCAAAGAGCCTTCCATGGCTCCCTACTGCCTGCAGCCTTGGATCCAACAAGTCACCCTCTTGTGAGGATTTTGAAGGTTCCCCAACCTGCCCACCCACGCACAGATTTCTCTCTCATTCTACCCATATACTGTCTGCCTGGCCAGCGGCTGCACCAACCTTTGCCCACTGCTGCTGTCTATGGAACACCCTCCTATTCCACACCACCTGAGCCTTCTTTCATCATGCTCAATACCACTGAAGTCAGGCTGCCTTGAAGAACTGCTCTCTTCCAGGCCGTTCTCGTGCCCCCGGCAGGACCTCCACTCCACTTGTCAGATGTTTACTGAGTGTGAGGGAGACTGGAGTCGAGCAGAACCAAAACATAGTTCCCATGTGCCACAGCTCAGCACACACCGGAAGAGTCTGAACTTACGCTGGCAGTTAGCAAAGGGCTTGCACAGCCACCCCCGCCATTGACGTGGCATCGCTATAACCACTATGTCCCTTGGTCCCCACACCAACCATGAGAGAAAGGAAGATGGTTATCATCTGGCAGGTAGAAGGAAAACTGAGGCTCTGGGAGGGAAAATATCTAGAAAACTGAGGCTCTGGAGGGAAAACATCTAGTTTAAGGCAGGATATCCAGTCCAGTGTCCCTGCCCATTAGCACGCTGCCAATCAGGGCCTCACAGGGCAGATCCCAGGGACACTTCATCTGTTTTAAGGTAGCTAGATGCCCAGCCCTACCTTCCAGCAACCTGTTTCTTTGGCAGAAACATAAGTGATGCTCTTGGTCTAATGTGCTCTTCCTCAGGGAACAGGGACTGTGGAAGCCAGTCAGACTGAGTCAGATACGGGAGGGAGCGAACTTCCTTGAAAGGCCACGGCTCAAGAGGGCAAGGCCAGGGCTGGGAGACAGCTCAGTAATAGGATGTTTGCCTTGTGTGACTGAAGATTTCCAGCAGAGTGTGTGTGTGTGTGTGTGTGTTGGGGGGATGCCAGGAGAAGAAGTAGTAACCCTTTTCCCTTTTCTCTGGACATTTCTTTCACTCACTCCTGCCTGGTTCCACCTCACCACACTGGTCCAGACTAGGTGGGGCCAGAGGCAAAGGGACAGGAAAGCCACCAGGATGCCGTGCCTCCCAGGCCCTTCTCCAGCTGCTCCCTGTGCTATCCCGTGCCTGGGTGCCACGCTCACACTCACACCTGTGTGCACGCCCACACGCACCTCACACACCTTGCTGCTCACACAGTCACAGCCTATGGGCCAGAGGCCAGAATCATGTGGGGGGTCTGGGCTAGGGAGTGGGGGCACCAGGCCGCCCAGGATGTAACTGAATGAATATCATGCGTCCAGAGAGGATCTGTGCTCAGGCCAGACCGCTAGACCTGAGGTAAGCTGCCAGGGCCTCAGAAAGGAGTTGAGGACGGAAGGAGAGAGGAGAGAAGGGAAAAGGAGAAACGCAGCACGTGGGAGGCCAGGAGTGAAACAAGAGGGAAGCGCCATGCAGGTGCTGAAAAGAAAAGGGCAGGTGGGTCGAGCCCACCGCCTCGGGGACTCAGCGCTCCCAGGGGCAGGCTCCGC